TTGTTGGTTAAGATGAAGTAAGAACTTGATAACAAGTGTTGTAGCTACTTTTTTAGTTGACAGACTTGCAATAATGTTGATAAGTTCATTTGGTATTAGACCAGTTAGAGTTGAGAAGACTGAAGATAAGTCTGATATACTATGAATCAGAGTAGGCAAATGACAAATGACAAAATATATAAAATTAATAATTAATTTATATTAATAGATTAGATTTTTATTAAAATATTTATAGTTTTTATATCTATTTTGTATTAACTAAGTTAAAAATATTATTAATTTATTTAACTTTATTTATTAAATAGTTTTTATAATTATAATAGATAAATATACAAGCTTAATTAAACTAATAATGTCTTTAATAAAAATTTAAAATAAAAAATTTTATAATAAGAAATCTTAAAATTTATTCTATTAAATCTAAATAAAATTAACAATATAAGTTTATGATTTTAGTAATAAAAAAATAATATTTTTAATTATAGTTAAATAAATATATAATTTTTATAATAAGTTTATTATCTTAATAATATATGAGTGTCATCAAGAAAAAACCTGTCATTAGGCTTTCAATATTCAGTTTGTTTTCTAAGTGCTATCTAGCTGATAATAGATTGTCCTAGATAGTATTCAGGAAACAAACTAAATATTGAAAGCCTGATAACAGGTTTTTTCTTGACAGCACTCATATAGGTTTATAATTTTAATAGTAAATAAATTTGTATTATTTATTTCTTGGAGAGTAGAAAGAGTTATCGATAATTATAGCACATAAGATGGCCTAAAGAACTATTTATATGATATAATCATTAGTAATCTGTCTGCTATAATTTCTCACTAGAAAATAAATAGATAATCTCCAAAAGCATGTCATTGGATGTTAAATAGACTACTATGCATTATTTTTATATGTAATTTTATATCAATATCCATATAGTGCTTTACTATTTGGGGCTTTGCTTTTTGGATTTCTTTAGTATAGGTGGGCAAACTCCACTATTAAAAAACTAATCATTAGTGAAGCTTATTTCTTATATTGCCCACCTATACTAAAAAAGACTCTTGCTTTACTATTTTTGAACTTTGCTTTATGTTTTTCTTTATTTTATTTATGTATATACTAATAATACAGTAATATAGTATTTTAGTTAAATTGTTCTTAATATAAATTAGTTAATCATATATATACTTTTCTAAAACAAATGAGTGCATGAGAGTAAAAACCTGAAAACCGATCATAGTGAATCATTAAATCAGTTTCCAGGTTTTCACTCTTACGCACTCAAATAATATATATATAGAACTTTATTTGGGATAGACTTTAAAAAGTTTATGTGAAGTTAATCAAGAACCAGATCTGATAAGCTTTTTAACAACTTTACTTCTATATGTTTTAATTTTTATTTATATGCTTTGTCAAACTTTTAGTAATTTGATAGTTAGATCTAATATTGCTACATACTATATTAATTTAAAAAATTGGTTCTATACTTTTAGCACAAGCTATATAATAGTGATAATACAGTTTATATCAGTCTTTTAGACCAAAGTTCGCTATATTAACTTATAAACTAAACTTATAAACTAAACTACTGAATCTATAGATTCGCAACCAATACTAAATATAGCATAATTAATTTTATTAAATAATAAATATAGATAATACTTTGTACTATCTATAATACTATATAGTAAAATATAAAAACACTTAAACAATAACTTTATTTACTTTAATAGTTATAACATTTTGATAATATTAACAAATTTTACTAATTTATTTAACTAATTCATTTAGCATTGTTGGCGCATTTAAAGAACTATTAAAAAGTCCTAAAAGCATCTACTTTGCATCTTTATCATCAGCAGGATGAATATCACGTCCACCAAAAGAAAAATTTAAATTAGAATGATCATCATTAATGTAAATATCATCGTTACTATCAAACTTATTTTCTTGCACAGCTAATTCAATCCAATTTGTTATAAGTTGTTCCCATTGTATTTTATTTTCAATTATATTGTTAGAATTATCTAATTCTTGCTCAAAATTATCTTTTTCTTTAGTAATTTGTGCATTATCTATATCAGTATCTTGGTTAGAGGAAGTGCTTTCTTCATTAATAAGTTCAGCAATATGTTTTCTTTTAGCTTTATTTTGATGAAACTCTGATTGTTTGATTTTGCGTTTTCTTAAAATATCATTATGTAATTGAGCCATTACTAATGCTGTATTATTCTAAATAAAATAATATGAATTAATTTTATATTTATTTATTTATTATCGCAGTTTGCAAATACAGTCAAACCTCTTTATAGTCACATCCTTGGGATACAAAACATAGTGATTATAAAGAAGTGTGACTAATATAGAGGTATTTATTATATAGGATAATTGGTAAAAATAAATTTGTAATTATATTAATTTTGTGACTATAGAGGAGGTAACTATAGAAGAGGTGACTATAGAAAGGTTTGACTGTAATTTACTTTAATCAAATTTTACAGATTGTAGCCCATGTATATAATTATTTGATTATTATTAAATTATACGATTATAAAATAATTTCTTAATAATTAATTATAAAATAATATTGTAGAATTGTATATTTAGATAACAATTAAATAATTATATATATGAGCTGCAACCTATAAGATTTAATTAAAGATATATCATTTTCAAATTATGATAAATAAAGTTTATATTTACCTTTAAATTATTTCTCTGTTTTGTATGTAAATTTCCCATTGCAGACCATAATCTTTCCACAGAGGCTGAATTAACACAAATTGAAAATAAATGAATAGAAAATCAAAATAATTTAGAAGCTTTACCAGCAACTGAATCCCAAAAATCTGTAATTTTACCTTTAAACTGTTGCCAAAATAAAATATCAAATAGCGATTTTTGTTTTTTATATAACATAAGCTCAGGTAAAATAGATTTTGAATGTATTTCAAACCAGGCTTCATAATAATAATTAATCCACATAGCCTAATCTGTCCAGATAATACAATCTACGGACATATTAAATTTAAATAACATATAGTCTGGATGAAGTACAAATTAAAGGAGAAGTAATGGCTGTTTTCATTGAAACCAACAAGTTTCTAAACATTCTACTATAGCTGAACAAAATTCTAAATCATTATGATCATTAAATATTTTAATTAAATATGCAAAACAATGTGTAACTTCATGAAGACGTGCTATGTCCTTTTGTAATTTGTTTAACATGCCACAAATAGGTAAAATCAAATTTTGAAGTTCATATAACTTAGTCCAAAAGGTTTGATTATTAATAATATTAAGTATATCATTTGGTAAAGCAATTTCATATGAACATTGAGAATTTTCTCTAAGACATGATGGGGCAAATTTAGCAGCCAAAGCCTATTGTAAATAAATAAATAAATATTACTATATACTATAAAGTTTTAGAATTAATAAAAAAAAAACCTTTAGTGCTTCTTCAGTTTTCAAAATACTATGAAAACAAAAATAATAACTATTCCATCTAGTATTATCTGGACGAAGTAGACTTATTGTTTTTCCATAAAGACTTTATTGTTCATTATGCAAATATGCACTAAATTGTATTGAACTATGAAAATAACTAACAATACGAATAGCTTTTTTAGAAATATCTAAACATGTATCTGATTCTTTAAAAATATTGCCTACAACCAGATTCATTTGAAGAGCCATACAAGGAAGAAATATTTTATTGATATATTCTCTGTGCATTTCACACCTAATTTAAAATTTTAAATTAAAAAATAGTTTAATAATTTTATATTATACTTTAGATTAATGCTTATCATACTCTTATATAAAGAATTGCACATAAAATTATTTACTATTTCTTAAAGATAAGAGTGACCCAGATTATATTAACTAAATATTTATTCTAACTATTATGCATAATGCTTAATTGTTATATTTTTATGATTATAAAAGTTATATTAGATCTTAATACAGCATTAACAGAAATTATAATAACAATTAAGCACTATATAGTAATAAGATGCATGATGTCTATTTTTAACTCTAACTCTAACTTAAAGCAAAGTAATATCTGGTATAAGTATTAACCTAAGGCACAAAACAGATTATTTTATTAAAATACAAAAGATTAATTACCTTGCTGCCACATATTCTCCAGCTGAATCTGAGCCAAAACAATTAATCATAATATTATTGTTTTTAGCATCATTCATTATTTCTTTTATATATGCAATAACATTTTCAGTTTTTAAATGTTCACAACTAATATCAAATGCTTTCCAAATAAGAGTGTCACCTTTTGATGTAATTAATACTATTCCAAAAAGATGCTCACGTCTTATATTTATCCAACCATCAAATATAGCAGTAACTCCAACAGAATCTTTTTGTACTTTATCAAGTATTGTATGATTTAATTCATAACTAGCTTTAGTTAAAATACACTTACTAAGTGCCCGATGACCTGGTAATTTAACTGTTGGTGCTAAAAAATTAAAAACATCCTGTGTTTCAGGATTTTCTACAAAACTAAATGGCAAGTTATTAGAAACAACTATACGTAACATTAAATTTTCAAAAGTTGGAATATTATTTTTTGATAATGGGCATTGAACAAATCCAATTAAAGATGATTGCTTAGTAGTTTTTGTAGATAGATTGGATAAGTTGGATGTAGATTGATTATCCAAAGTTAAAAAAGTTTTAGTGCTGCTTTCTTCTAATATTAAGTATATATATATAATTAAATATAATTAAATTATATATATAGAAATTAATATTTTTAACATACCATTAATAACATTTTGTTGGGTTGATTTACGATCTTTTGCGATTTCTAAACTAAAAATTGCTTCTTGTTCTTCTTAAGTATATTAACTTTTAAAATATTGACACTTTTTTAAATAATTATAACATAAATTTCCCTTATTTGATACACAACATTCTTTATTTTCAAGTGCAATTGATACTCCAAGAGTTTTAATACAAGATTTACAAACAGCAATTTTGTTACCACCTTTATTAGCATTTTGTTGCTTTAAAGTAAAATATGGTCCATTTTAAAAAAGAAACATAGGCCATTTAAACATCCATATCTATAATACAAATTGGTTGTTATAATTAGTCTTCAAAAAAAGTGTAATAACAGATACTGCAAGCTAAATATTCAATTACATATGATATGTTATAGCCATAAAATTATATTAATTGAGTGAAAGATTTTGTGTATCGTATGTATTTTGATGGTTTATTAAGACTTATCGCTTATTATACATATCAGATTTTTAGTATTTCTTTTTTATTATATTAATCTATTAATTATAATTCGTAAGATTGGCTTACATGCATGCACATATGCATTCTACAAAGTAACTAGTTTATAAATAAAAAAAACCTCAGATTTAATCAAATTAGGCTAGCTGTACGACATGCAATAATGCGCAGGACCAGTACAATCACTTAAGGAGAGAAACAGAAATCAGAGAATTTCTGGTTACTAAGAAGCTATACGATCCAACCCTACTGATTCAAATGTTAAACAATTAAATTTAATTAATATGTAAATGCGAAGTTAATAGCATATCTTAAATCAGTCGATTGATTTATGTTCATTATACTCTCAAGCTGGATTAGTGTGAGCAATAAATAAAACTCAAGATTTTTGCTTATAAGAGTTTTTCATATTACTCTATTTTTTTTAGATAATTAATAAGCCTACGCCAATAAATTTATCGCCATAATTACATAACTTCATCTGCACTCATGTTTTGAGTATGATCAACCAAAAATGGTAAGATAGATTTTCGTATGTAACTCTACTATACCCTAAACAGAAAAAATTGTCATAATACCTTCTAAAATAGGAAAAATATAGCTCACCAAAAAGTTAAACAGAACCATCTCTCATGTATTTCATATGATCATACTGGTACAATATTAAATTTTACTATCGCTATTCATCTTTGTAAACAATATTCACAATTAAATACAAATTTATTTTTTTACAAACCTGTTATATAAAAAATTGGTTAAACTTAACATGTTATAAGCCTGTATTATCTATGATTATTCATGCGAGTTAATGAAAGGTCAACGGATCGAAAAGAAGGATATGCTAGTTGCAACCCGGCTAGGTTGTGCCAACAAATAATAATAATAATACCAGTTAAACCAGGTCGAATAGCCAATTTAGGCAAATCAAGAAACAAGGAAACTAACATCACATGCATTCAGATGAGTTAACTTCCTGTTTTGAAACTACTAAAGATTGACTAATAAAATCTCATCAATCAGATTGAAAATAACATATGATGGGCAAGGGCAAGCAGTCATAGTCTCATGCCAATACAGGAAGCAAATTTGTACCCAGGCCTGCCCACCCATGCTAAAACTATGCTGAATCTTGCCATTTTGTAATGTCTTTAAAACTTCATATCAAAGTTAGCCTGCTTTATGCCATGCGGAAAACTACCAACTGATGCTACACATCACAAATTCAACTAATGATGGTAATACCCAGCACAGTTATAGCTGCACTTTCTGGAAGCATGTCCTGTCTCAGTTTGTACATCAATTGCACTGATGTATGCTGCATTTATCTATAAGAATCATTTAATAAAATTTAATATCTGGTACTATTAGCCAAATGCGTCCAAAGTATTATATAACAAGTGCGTGCAATGCCTTTCGAATTCTCAAATCTATTAACCTCTTCAGGCAAAACTATCTTAGCTTTTGAGTTGTAAATAATAACTCGGTTGTGAATTTTAATAGAATATCAACACTGAATAGTAAAACTCCTCAAGTTACCAAATATTGGTATTTATTATTAGTACTATAGACTAATTAGTGACTTGCATTACTAAATGGTCTAAAATTATAGCCAAATACAATCATCATGTTGTTAGGCACTCAAATAAGTGTATCATAGTATTGTTTGATCAATTTATTGGATAAAGAACAATAACTAAATTTTATTACCTTGCTTTTCTTATTTATACGAATTTTAGCTCTGTTATTTTATTATTAATCAATTATACTGTATTTGATTCTCAAATTAATAATTATTTTGCTTTTATGTCGTGGGGATTAATTGAAAGGTATATTTCTCTAAAATCTTGTTCAGGCGGTTCGATTTAGTAGTTATTTATTTTAGCAAAAGCCAAGTTTGACTTTTGCTATTTTTTGATACTTTAACGTATGTTCCTTTGTTTACACCTTGTCCTTCACTTGCTCACATCTCCAACCTTTAATCCCAAAGGTACCTCTGCGCTGCAAGTTAGGCTTTAGTATTTTATTTAAGAACAAATGGAGGTTCAATTTGTGAGATTGAATCTCATATTTATTTAATTTGTCATGTGCGATTACATTATCAATTTTACTAATAAGCCCTTAAATTACAGTCTGGTAATACATCGTTATAATTTTGTATTTCATAACCTTATTACTGATTAGAGGTTGAAACCGGTTTTAATAATTCAGGTTTATCATGTGAATTTTGTGATATTTTAGAATTTATTAAAATTTAATTGGATTAAATTCTAAAATATCACAAAATTCATGTGATAAATCCGAATTATTAAAACCGGTTCCAATCTCTATTACTGATCATTACATTGATTATTCATTATTGTTGGTAGAACCACAGGACCTCAAGACCACATTCATTCAATCAAATACATGTTACTTTACTAAACTATCTTGTATCACTCATCCTTATGTAACTAATAATTTCCAAGCCCAATCACTCATCACGTGGACACAACACATTTATCTTTCTTTTCTTTAAAACTAAGTCCACATTTATTTTATTTTATTAATTCTTTTTTTAACTTTATACTAATACATTTCTTTATCATTTTTAGGTTTTCAAATTCATGCCTTTTGCAAAATATGCAGCATACTTATTCTCACTATAACAATGGAATGTTAATAATCTTTGATTATATGGATTTTAATAAAAGTCAGATTCTCAGGTGTTGTTATATTTGAGTTTTAGTATACTAGAAAATAGTGACGTTTTGTGGGCTGTCGCTCTAGTTATTAGGTTTTACACTTTGAAATTAAATTTAAAATAGTACAGTATTTATATTACTTAAAAGATTACATCTACAATAAATCTGTAAAAAAAGCAATTTTGTTCTATTATTTTTGTTGTAAGTGCATATTTACTATAATATTTGTAATCTGTTAACTATTAAAAAGAAAATCAGCAAATGCACAAACCTTTGGTACGTTTACAAATATAATATCAGTTGCAAGTTCTTTATTTCAAGTTTATTACAATGTTATAACTTATAAATTATAGTGCCTAAGCAAGACATAAAAAAAATTATGTGCAAGAGCAAGTTCTTTATTTTTTTCCTCAGTACAGTAAATTTAATAGATTGAATTGGTGCTGCTTGATTATGATCCACACAATTATTTATTTTAGTCAGAATTGTCATAGTGGTAGTTAATATATGAAGTTGGCTATCATACTTAAATCAAAATTCCAATATCCAAATATTGAACCTAATTTTGGTTTAATTTCTGGATATTGAACCTCTAGCCAAAAAGTATCTTACTTACATATTTATTTAATTTAGGTGATTAAGTGTATTACTCTATTTAATCTTAAATATTAAAAAAAGTTGTGTAAAATAAAAAAATAAATACATGAAAGTTATATCCTGTGTAGATGATATAAGAATTCTGTAGTATAATCAGCTGCATACGCAGCCGATTATATACTTTACTAAAAATTCTGCCTAACACTCAGGATATATATTCTACTAAAAGTCAGACATCATATTTTAACTTAAGATCTAGGTATCCAAAAGTTGATTCTAATTTAAGTTCAATTCAGGTTATTAAACCTGAAATTTTGGTCAGGATGAAACAGAAGCCAGACGTTCTTAAAATTCAGTAGAATATAACAAGCTATTCTGTTAATATGAGCTAATTGTTGTTCTTTAGTCATCAAATTTTTTCTAGCATTATTTTTTATTGTTAGCTATTCAGATATATAAGTTTTTTGTGTTTTTACATTTTAAATATTTATCAAATTGGAAGAATTTCTAATACAATTAACTATAAATAAACTTCAATCAAATATGTAATTCTTGCTCATGGTATAATGATATATTTTATGATATATTTATGATGGTATTTTAGTTTGCATAAAATAAGCTTTATGCATCAAAAAGTAATTATTGAAATAAGCTTTATACGTTAAAAGATAACTATCATAATAATCTTATATGTTAAAAGATAACTATCATAATAAACTTTATATATTAAGGTGATGTTTTTAACATACAAATCATAATTTAATGAAATAAATATACTAAGCTTTGAAAGTTCATTGCTATATTTTAAACTAAGATTTCATTAAAAGTCAGTTTTTACTAAGATTTCAGTATCTATAAGTTAAACCTAATTTAGGTTCACTTGTTGAATATGCAACCTAAAGTTTGGATCAGTTGAACTGGAAGTCAGACATTTTTGAAAATTTCATAGAGTATAAGAGTATGATTTGTAAAGCTTCACTTTGCTCCCTTCAGCCTAAGCCAATTAAAAGTCGGCTACTACAATTTAAACTAAGATTTTGGAATCCAAAAGTTGAATCTAATTTAGGTTCGATCTGGTTATTTTGAACCTAAAATTTGGGTTAAGTAAAGTAAGAACTAGATATTTCTAAAATTCAATAGAGTAAGAGGTTGAAAGTCTTCTGCCTCACTTCAGCCAATTATGTGTTATGTTTATTTTCTTTTATTGTTATTTTACCTTATGGTTGTTTTACATTCATATTACTAACAAACTCTTGATATAAATTAATTACATCACAAATGTTATTGACTACCATTATATACAATTAAATACCCCAATCTTGATTTAATTAATTATATTATAGCATATGTCAATTATGACTGTTTGATGTATTAAAATATAATTAAATTACATCTTGTAACTAAACTTAAAGTATATTTTAGTAAAACTATAATATGTATTTATATTATTTACTATGTCATTTAAATATGTTATTTGATGTCATTTGATGTCATTTGATGTCATTTAACTAGTTGTTATTTAATTTAATATTAAAAAATTAAATGACAAATGACTTATATTATTTTGTCACTAATTTGTCATTTGTCACTAAAAATCAAATGACATTGTCATTTGCCTACCCTGGTTTGTACTGTATATTCTAAATAATTTGGGCAATATTACCAAAATTCACTATGTATGATTGTAATTTTTATTATTAATTAAATTAATAATTAATTACACATATATATAGATTCAAATATTCAGCTTAAAATTCTTAAGTTGGTCTAATATGGTATGTAATGACATTCAAAGTTGATCTGTTTTTAATTATATATACTAGCTTTTTTTTATATTTAGGTAGCATATGAAGATATAATCACTTCTTGTAATTCTCATTCAGCAGTTCTAAGTATATATATGTTGTGCCTCAGAATAATGTATGCCTCAGTTGACAGCCGACACCCTCAGATGTTGATCATCAGATGAGATGCCTCAGATAATTAATCAATATCTGAGATGCATAGACTGTCATCTGATGCATATGTACTTAATTTATCATTATTTATCATTATCATAATAAACTTTTAAATGATAAGATTTAACTTTCAGACTTTGTAAATGATAATTTGAGTTTATGATGATTTTCGTCATATACTTTGTGACTTTGTTGCCTATGTATTAGTTACCAAAAAAAATTTTTTGATGCTTTCACTTATTGCTCATTGCCTATACGTTTGTTGTTACAGCAAAACTCACAATTGAATCCAACATAAATAACTTTATTTGTATTTTATCACAAGTAAGAGGGATTCACTTTGGATTAGGCACTGTCTCTGCTGTAGTTTGTCACTCATACATTCATTTGTTCCAAAATATTTGTTGCCCAAATGATCATTATCTGTAACTTGTTGCCTATATATTTGTTACTTATATGTTTGCCATTTAGACATTTATTATCTATACATTTCAGCTTCTTATTTAGGTAACATTAAATTATCTATTCTTTATCTTAATTATTGTATTTCTGCTTTATATTTTCCAAGAGACATTACATCATTTGAATCAAAATTACATATACAGTTATATACTACATTAGGGAATATACTTTTATTAGCAAACAAATCTTTAACAATATTATTGATCGATATATAATAAGCTTACCTAAAAAAAAATAGAATAAAGCATTAGTAAATATAGAACTTCTTAATAAAATTCAATTAATCTTACAAAATTCTACTAACACAAACATTAGTGATCAAAAAACATGGGATTGGGCAAAAAGAAGGTTTTGTTTAGAAGAAATAACTTCTAATAATTTTAGGATTATAGTAAAAAAGAATAATAATCCAGTTCTTACTATTGAAAATATGTATAAAGTACTTTGTCAAACTCATGCTGAAATTGATCAACATAGTGAGTAAAAAAATTTGTGAAAATTAATCAAAAAAAAATAGGAATGCATTAGACAGGACATTGTTGAACAATTTGTTAATAATTGCACAGTGTATACTACAAAAAAACCATCTTTTTACTCATTAGCAGAAAACCAATCATTACCAAAAATTTTTTATCCTGTTTACAAATAATTTTATTTATTTATTTATTTATTTATTATTTTTTTTTTAACATATTATTTTTATAAAATTGATTTAATTGACTAATTATTTGATTCAGATGAAGATTACAAGTATATCTGTTATATTAGAGATCACTTCAGCTGTTTTTTATAGGCCAAGTCACTTACATCCAAAAGGGTTGTTGAAGTTGTAACATATTTATTTGATTTATTTCATACTTTAGATTTACTTTCTACTATTTTACAAAATGATAATGGAAAAGAATTCTGTGTATCAATAATCAAGAAGCTTATACAAATGTGGTCAACAGTTAAGATTATAAATAGTAGACCAAAGCATCTGCAATTACAAGGCCTGATTGAATGGGCAAATGGAATTCTTCAACAAAAGCTTGGAAAATAAAAAGAACAAACTGGGCATACTAATTGGTCTTTTAGATTGCACTTTGTTATTTCTTTTATGAACAACAGTTATTGTCATGCACATAAAATAACACTATATGAACTCATATATGGTAGTAAACCTTACAATAATTGTACTTTAATTAGTAAATTATTTTCAAAAAATATTCTTGATAAAGAGAATATTCCGGAAACAATCAAAATACAGAATATGACAGACAATGTAAGCTTGGATAATAATTTTGAGGTAAGAATTTTAAATACAATTTTAATATTTATTATGATTTATATTTAATATAAATTTATTAATATATAGATGATAAAAATTTTTAAATAATATTCTATCGAATCAATCTTTCAATGCTACTAATACCACATTTACTAATTTTAATATTATCATTATCCCACTTATTGATTTTAACACTATCACTACTCTACCTATTAATACTAGTACTATCATTACACCATGATGAAAATATGAGACCAAAGGTAATAATTTTTTTTATAAATATTTATATAATTTATTTATATAATAATGATAATATCTTAATATTTAGATGACAGTTACAACCTCAACTTACTTAACTATTAACAACTCAACCTCAGAATCAAATAAATGTCATCTAAAAGTTTTTTTGATTGGAATTTCACAAAGCAAATTAACTGTAATTGAAAATATGAAAAATTCATTTTTTGAAATATTCATAAATAATCATATCAGCACCAACCAAGACCACAATTATGTAATCTATGTGGTTTTTCTGCATACCAACCCACAATTTGAATATCTCAAAACTACTATGCATTCACAGAACTTTACTATTTTTGTAATTGGCAAATAAAAGTCATCAACAATAAATTTTACATTAATGCAAAAGATATTAACTATATAGAACTAAAAAAAATTGAATCTAACATAGATAACTCACAAATCTCGACTAATTTAACAAGATTAAAACTACTAAATATTTATCAGAATATAAATAAAAATTTGAAGGATGCATCCAATATTCAATTATCATCATCAATGCCTTTAAACCATAATGAAAATTCTTTCTCATCAAAATGCAAAAGATTGGAAGAAATTATTTAAATTATCAAAAACTTATTAAAAATGAAAAATGCAGACATCACTAATATAGACAGTTCAGATTCTATTAATATTGATGATGTCAATCATATTTTAAAAATAAACAAAATAATTGAATCTGATCAAGAAAAAATCAAGAAACCAACTAAAAATAGTAAAACAACTAAAAATAGTAAATTATGAAAACATCTTACATGAAATAATAAGAAAGGTAAAGAACATGCTACAAGTACTTAAGAACTAGGTTTAGCTATCGATATCATTGATTCTGATCAAGAATAAAATACATTAGCTCTAATTTTTTAAATAAATTCATTTAAATAGTTTTTTTTATATGAATATCAGCTTTTTCTTCTTAATTTTTTATAAAATTTTGTTTTTCTCCTAAATAAAATAAACTTATATATAAACAAAAATATATAGTTAAAACCTAATTATTAAAATTAACTAATATACAGTAATAAAATAATTAATCGATATAATTAATATATAATATATTATATATTAATATTGATTACAAAACTCATCTTTTATAATATATTAGCATACATCCATACTGTTCATATACAAAAACTTATAAACATCTAATAAAATAAACTTAAAATCTTTTATTATCAATAATCATACTATTATCAGCTAAATTTTATTTAACTTTATCACTCAAGTTGATAATTACAAAAAAATGTAAAGTTAATAATTTTCTCCTATACTATATAATATATATTAAATTTTTTTCAAGTTTGTCTTATCGTATTAAACTAATTAATGCTGCTCAGTATATTATATGATTACATAGAAAAAAATAGTTATGAAAAAATAAGTAATAATTATTTATACAATATGTATAATCTATATCATAGCTTTATCAATTTAGATTATACTTTAATATATATAGTATGTTTTTATAACTATATATTATTTAATTTGTTTAATAGACTTGATGATTATATATTCAATACTCTATACAATTTTATTAATAATAATCACAATAGTTGCCAATTTCTGGTTGACTTTAAACAAGCTAATATCAATAAAAATATACTTAAAACAATCTACAGAAATCTATTTTATATAAAGGCTTAGAAAATATATTATCAAAATTAAGTAAATCTCTAAGTCATTTGTAGAATTAATAATTTTTTTATTGTTACTTTTACTAATACCAAAATATCAATCATCAATATATAATCTAAAACTTAATTTACTTATAACTTAGTATTCCTTAATAATATAGTATATAAATTAGAAAATTATTTTAAATATTTGTTTTTTATATATATGTCTATAGATTACTAGAAGCTTAGATTATATGACTAAAAACAGGATAACAAACATCTTAATGACATGTTAATCATTAAAATACTATAGATACTGTCTGAATAATGCTAGAGTATATTCTTTAATTGATCAAAAATGTATATAAGTAGAGCTTTAAATATTAATATGACATATTTTAATCTTTAATTTCTTTATTGAAATTAAAATTAAAAATTCTAATTCTAATTTTACCTTGCAAACAAAATACTTGTGATAATAAATAAAACATTATATTTGTATGCCAGTGCAAGTTTATCATTTTAAAACTTAATTATTAGAATTTGTTTTAAGTAATAATATTACTAAACTTTTGTATCTAACTCTTCTCTTTTTTGTATATTAGCTTTTATTCTTTTTTCAAAAAAATAACCTTTTGTCTATTTTAATATAATATAAAGCATCAATCCAAAAGTGCCTCAAATCCAATTCATAGTCAAATTTACTATTAGATACTAAATTTAATTTGATTTTAATTAACAACTACCTCATAAAATTCTTATTATTCTTAAAATATCCAAGACCTCTATATTGATTAAACATATCATTAAACTATTCTAATTTCTAATATTATTTGTTTAGTACCTAAAATTTGAATAAAATATTACTTAAGACTTCCTAAATTTTATAAATCCTGAAACTGTGAACAAAAATAACAAAGATACTTATCTTTAAAATTATTTACTAGAGCTAGATTAAACTTATTATGATTATTAACTTTCTCAATAAATAGTAACAATATAATAACTATTATATTTATACTTAACTTCATTCTATTATGCCTTAAATTTCAAATCAAAAGTCAATTGCTCAACAGTGAAGAAGAATTAGAGAAAAATCAGGACTTGACCTTATCTTAAATTATCCACAAACAACTTCTGCGAAAACACCAAAATATAAAAAAATTAATAAAAGACATGTTAAATTAGTAAACACACCTACAACATCTATTCAACCTCTAATTACTCTTGACATTTTATAGCATATTCATAAAAAACATAACTTAGGCCTAATGAATATTGAATGTAATCACTGTAAAGCACTTCATTGGTTTGATGAACACCTCATTTCCTCTTCTTAAAATTGTCCAAAATTTGGTATATGTTGTTTATATGGCAAAGTTGTTTTGCCACTTTTACAAGATCTACTGCTTCTTTTGTGTCAATTTTTTGAAGAACAAGATGAACATTCTAAAGAATTTTGACAAAATATCTGACAATATAATGCAGTACATGCATTTACTTCACTTAGAGCTAACATTGACTGGTCAGTCCTCAACAGCAGTGGACTATACACTTTTCATATAAATAATGAATTATATCATTATATAGGCTCTTTGCTTCCTGACTCACATATTGAAGCAACCTATGCTCAACTTTATATATATGACTCTGAAATAGCTTATCATTTAAGAATGAAACATAATGAAACTTTAACAACAAATACAATATGGAAGATACAAAATCTTTTATAACAATATAATATGTTTTATCTTATATATCAACAAGCATATGAAATACTCCAAACTTAAGAAGAAAGAAGAAAAATAACAAACTTAATAGTTTATCTTTACTTTAATAAATTAACTGACCAACATAGATACAACCTTCCTATTGCAAATGAAATTGCTATAATCTTACCTAGTAATAGATCAATTCCTAAAACAATGCATAATATTGTTCTTTAACTTTATACAATCTACTCCAAAGAATTTATGAAGGGCATCCTGCTTATCTATCCTTCTATTATGTCTTATTTTTTTCTTGTAGAGAACTTGGAAAGCATGCTGACTTATGTCATACTATAATTAATATACAAATACACTCTCTTAAAACTCAAACTAACACATTATGTCTTATTCAATTAAATTATTACTCTTATTGCCTTTTTCCATGACATAATGAATATTCTACAATTCTCCATGGTAGAAAGTTATTTCAAGAATTTATAGTTGACGCATGGGCTGCAACTGAACAAAATAGACTGTGATTTCTACAAATGAACCAAGATACATTATGTGCTGATGTCTACCAAGGTCTTACAGATACTGTTAATAATAATAATAATGAACTATCTTTAAGTACTCTTGAATGTAGAGTTATTCTTCCTTCTACTCACATTGGAAATGCTTAACAAATTTTTGAAATATTTTAGGATTCGATGGCAATTATCTAATTTTATAGCCACCTTGATAAATTTGGAACAATGACTGCAAATCCCAAATGGTCTGAAATAATTAATGAACTACTTTCTGGTTAGATTACTGTAGATCAGCCCGATTTAGTTGCACATATCTTTAACTTAAAGTGTTATGCTCTCCTTTATATTATTAAAAAAAATAATTTTCTTAGTAAAACTGTTGCACATGTATACACAATTGAGTTTCAAAAACATGTCTTCCATATATGCACTTTTTAATTTTTCTTCATAATGATAATAAGATTAAAGAATCTGCAAATGTTGACAAAATAGTATATGCTGAATTTTCCAACAAACAAAATGATCCAAACCTCTTTAATACAATATTTCATTGCATAATTCATAGTCCTTGTGGTCTTTATAGCTTGCATGCTCCATGTATGATAAATAACAAATGTAAAAAAAATTACCCTAAGGCCTATCATAATATAACTTTGATGGATAATGATGAATACTCTCTATATGCTAGAAAAAATGATGGATTAACTTCCAAAATCAACAACAAAATTATTGACAATCAAAATATTATTTTATATAATTCTGACTTAAGTTGAAAATACAACTGTATATTAACATCAAAATATGTTCATCTGTATGAGCAGTAAAATACATTCATAAATACATTTATAAGGGTCACAATAGAACAACAATGCAATTTGGTTATGAACAAAACAAAATAAAATTAAGCAGTATATCAATGCAAGATATATTGGTGCTGCTGAAGCCACATGGCATCTTTTAGGCATGTCTAAACATAATCAATTATAAATACTTATTCATTACTTATTATTAATATATATAACTACTGAGAATTTTTATAATAATACTAATAATAGTAAAAAAAAAAAAAACAACATTCATAAAATGAACCTAATCACATTTTTAAGTTTCTGTTAATAAATTAATATTTGTAAACTACAATAAATAATAATAATAATTAATCACAATAAACAATAATTAGTAATAATAAGTATAAATAAATAAGAAAATACTAATAACTAATTATTATTTACCTTAACTTCCAATTTCTAGGTATGTTTATGCACAAAGAAGTTCCAAATGTTGTAAGACTCATGTTACATCTCTCTAGAATGCATTCAGTTATCTTTAATTTCACAAATAATATTTTGCCTATTCTAGCACAAGCTAATCAACAAAAAACAACTCTTATTACTTTCTTTGAAACATGTGCAACTCTTGAATCTGCCTGTCAATATACTTATCAAAAATTCTTCCAACACTTTGTTTGGAATAAAAATCTTAAAAAAATAGACATCCCGAAAACATGGGTTTGCAATTGGGTGATTATACTTTGCTGAACTCTCAGCAGGCGAACAATTTTATCTTCACCTTCTTTTTACGACTGTATGTGACTCAAAGTCATTTATAACCTAAAAACTATTAACAATACAACTTATTCAACATTTAAAAGTGCATATTTAGCTTTAGGATTATTAGAAGATAACAAAGAATAGTCTCAATGTCTTAAAGAAGCCACTGTTGTACATACTGGATCTTAACTAAGAGTTCTTTTCACCATTATACTCATACAGTATGCTTCTGTTAATCCTAAACAATTATGATTACATTTCCATACTAATCTTTGCAATGCTCTTCAACACTGACTATGTAAAGAATATAATGTTTATGAACCCACTAACTGTCAAATCTTTGACTTTGGATTTTTTTTAATAAATAAAATTCTTCACCAATCAAACCAATCTCTTGACATGTTTTCTCTGATACCTCTCTGGCAATATAACTGGAAACATCATAGTAAAAACAATCTTATTAGTTAACAATTATTCTAGAATTATTAAAAACTTCAAACTATTGTTAATAGTCATATTCCAATGTTAAACAATGAACAAACAAAAGCTTACCATACTATAACTACTTCTGTAACTAATCAAAATAGTGAATTATTTTTTCTTAACAGTTATGCAGAAACTGACAAAACCTTTGTATACAATACTATTGTGATAAAAATCTGAAGCTAAAAAAAAATTGTTCTCTGTATAGCATCTTCAGGCATTGCAGCTCTTTTACTACAACTTGGTTATACAACTTATTCAAGGTTCAAAATTTCTTTAGATATTAATAAAAACTCTTTTTGTACAATTAACAAAAATTCAACAGAAGTTGAACTGATATGTCAAACATCTCTTATTATCTGGGATGAAGTATCAATACAGCATCATCATTGTGTTGAAGCCATTGACTATTTGTTACAAGATATTTGTAATAATAAACACCAATTTGGTAAAATTATTGTAGTGCTTGGTAGAGACTTTTGTTAAATACTTTCTGTCATCATAAAAGGTTTCAGAAAAGAAATTGTAGTCATTTCCCTCAAATAATTCTATTTATGAAGCATGTTAAAGTACTTATACTAGAAAAAAATAGGCAATTTAATACAGAATCGAATGAAAATAAATATTTTTCGTGTTGGCTCTTACAAGTAAATATAAATTTTTAATAAACATATTTCAGATCTCAATACCTATGCAATTTAATCATAATTATGTTTTTTTTTTTTTAACTAAAATATATTAATAACTCATCTTTCATATATAAATTCTTAATTAACACTTAATAGGTTGGTAATGACATGAATACTGTAGATGATAAGTTATTTCTTCCTGAATACATGAAAGTGCTAGATCAAGATCTAAAATCATTCATTAATGTAATATATCCTAATATTCATGTGATAGAAACATGTACTGATTAATGCTTTAGTGAATGAACTATTCTTTCTCTACAAAATGAAGATATACAATATATTAATCAAGAAATTCTCTACATATTCCCAAAAAGCAATGAACACTGATAATACACTAATTGAAAAGGGTGTTGACAATAATAATATTTATCCTGTCGAATTTCTCAATATACTCAATCCTAATGGAATGCCACCTGTAAAACTTAACCTCAAAATAGGTTGCCCAATAATGCTCTTTAGAAACATTGCCCTGGGACAAGCTCTTTGCAATGGAACTTGCTTAATCATAACACACCTCGCAAATCATATAATAGAAGCATGAATACTATCTGGTGATCATGCTGGAAGTCTTGCATTTATTTCTTGCATCACCTTGAATTCTTCAACTTTTGAACTTCTGTTTATCTTCAAAAAAAACAGTTTCCTATTATATTGCCTTTGTGATGACTATTAATAAGTCACAAGGACAATCAATAAAGCATGTTGGTTTAGACCTCCATATACCTGTATTCTCATATAAACAACTTTACGTTGCTCTTTCATGTAGCACTGCTCCATATTCTATAAAAGTTCTTTTTCCTAAAGATAACACCAACAATATGTAACAACAAATATAGTTTACCCTGAAGTGCTTATAGAGACTTGGACCATAAATTACAACTATATCTTTTAATTATACCTCCTATTCTTATATCTAGATAATTAGTATAACATCATGTTATATAAAAACAGTCTACGCATACATACGTACCACTCACCCTAAAATTTCTAAATTTTTCTTTTTTAATTCTATTATTTATTTCATTTACATTTAATTCATTTACTAACTTATGTATTGATTTTATAAATTTCATTTTTAAATTTAAAATATATTACACGTCATTCTATTATAACTATCAATGTTATAAATGTTTAATATTACTTATGAATATTACCCACATGTAAACCTGTTAAACTTTATACCGAAAACATATAAATAAATAATTAATTACACATCTAATAAATTACAATTCATTTATTAAATTCCCCTATAATAAAGTAAATTAAAGACGCACCCGTTGAACATACCTAAACCATAACTATTTATAATAAAATTAATAACAGAATACGTTCCGCTGTCAAATATATGAATTATTGATAATAAACTACATGAAAACAAAAAAGCTTATTTAGTCCCCAAATAAAATAAAACAATTTTGTTAAGTTATAAAAAAGCACTAATACTATTTTTTGAAACCTACAAATAGTTTCTGATAATGAACGACTAATCATATAATGTAAGATGAATTCAGAAACAAATTTTTAAGAAAACTTACTTTCAAGCTACAACTAAATACAACATTATATCACTACACTTTATCTAATTTGACGTTACGTTATCTACATTTATTATTATTATGTAATCAAAAGTAGTTATTGAATAATAAGAATTATTAATTATATATAAACGTTACTGAATACAACTTCCTCCAATTAATTATTATTCACTCCATAAATTACAATCCCCGTGTCGAAGACACGGGTCATTCACTAGTTTATAAATAAAGCATTTTAAAAAAATAAAAATTTATATATTACACCGATTGCATCATATGACAGTCAACGCACCTCATATATCGATTAATTATTTGAGGCACCTTACTTATTGATCGATATCTGAGGTGCGTCGGCTGTCAGCTGAGGCTCACGTTATTCTGAGGCACAACATATAGATGGGAAATATTTTCTGATTTCAAATTTTTTTTAAATTGTTTAAAATGGATCGGCAATCACTTTATTGTAAAGCCATCACACAGGGTGTCGATTAATATTTAATAGTCAATACATATATAAATGATTATATCATTAAATACTAATCGTTATGCTGCATGATCGGTGCTCGGTGAAAATGTTTATAAAATTTAGAAAAATATAAATATTAAATTTCTTTCCTTAGCCAATGATGGCCGTATAATAATATTCGGTGGCAGTCGTCCAGATATCGCAATATTAAATATAAATATTATGCCATATCAATGGTCTGCCCCAAATATTTCGTCGGGAAATTATCAACCTCTCTGCTATCATTCTGCCGAAATATATAATAACGTTATGATAGTTGTGTTCGGTATAATCTACTTTAAATATATCTGCATGCTTCAATAGTTAATTACACTGTATATTTCTAACAATCGGTTCATATTATATTAATGAATTCTAACCTCTGATCAATTACAAACAACAAAAACAATTAACAATTATATTTATTTGATTGATGTTCAAAATTATCAATGGGTTTCTTCAATCACATCTACTACATCTTCAACTATATCTATTACATCTTCAACTACACCAACATTATTAAAAGAAACAAGCTCAAATAATCTTTCCAATGTCATTATTATCGGAATTAGCACTATTATAAGTGTATTTGTTTTCATTCTATTATTGTTGATTGCTAGACTTTGGTATTATAAATACAAAAATAATCCTGATAATAGGCGGAATTGGGCACATTAGCTTAGCAGTTAAAAAACTGTCAAACCTTTATAAAAAGAGTCAATAGTTCAAACAGGTTGAAAGCAAATTGAAAATATTGTTTTTGTAACTCAGAAAAAGGTTATGATCAATTGCAAAGTCTATAGTAAGATCAAATGAAATACAAAATTGGAATAAGAAATTTATAGAAGGGATCTAGTTGTAGAATATAAACATTATATGTGATAGTAAAAGTTATAGAAGGTTTGTTATATAAAGTTTGTGCAAATAAGTTCTTAGAGTGAATACAAAACGGTATCAATATCTTTCTATTTAATTTGTAGAAAGGTAATATAAAGGTAATATAGTCCAAAGTAGTAAGAAAAAAATTAGTAAATATAATTATAACCTAAAGTAAAAGGTTAGTCTAACTAGAATTAAAATATTTCTAGCATATAAAAATAATTAAAATTCGAACGTTCTAATTATAAAGTATTAGTTCTTATTTAGAAAAATGTATAAAAACTTAAAATAGTTAGAAGTATTAAATAAAATTCCATTATATAATAATACCTAAATAAAGTATTTACAAATACTAGCCAATATATTTGAAACTAGAAGTAGCATTATTATACTTATATATATTAGTTTTCATTATCTTATCTGTTTTCATTATATTTTAAAATACTCATCTGCGTTATTTATACATAGTATTATTCAAAATAGAGAACCAAAATTTGAATATTATGTGCATGTTTACATTCCCCAGGCTTATTTGAATCAAAATATGCTATTAAGGGTACATTTTAGAAATGCTTATGGCGTTATTTCGTGACCATCAATACATTCTAGTTTTATAAATGTTTTAAGATCGTATAGGCTAAAATAATAGAATAAATCAATATAATATGATTTATATATTGCAACAAAATGCAAGTTATATAATTAGCAAGCAAAAAAAAATATAATAATAAACTTTTTTATTGTTAATTAATAAATACTTTTTATTAGGCTATTGTAATCATTATAAATCCCTATTATTATGCGATTATATTTATAGGTTATTTATTTATTAGTTTTTAATAGCACTATTAATGAGCTTGGAAATAGGCAAGTATATTTCTATCAAAAGTTTATAAAAATGCGAATATTATCTTGCATAAAAATTTGCAATTTCTAGTAAAGTACGTAATTAACAAAAATTTAAGTGATATGACAATTAAACATATATACGTACTAAAAAGAATATTATATGCCAATACATATTTACTAGAAATACAATATTATTTAAATGTAATCATATTTACTGTTTAGATATAATATATTATACTCGATTAGTACACAAAATTCTTTTTTAAAATGCCGGATGTTCCGTTTAATTAAGTTGGTTTCCGGCGTAATTTAAAGCGGCCGGAAATTTTATAATATAAAATATATTGTAGGGGTTTCTAAATTTCGCTTACCAAAAAAAAGCGGGTTAAGAAATTTTGAAAACTGTACTGGATATAATTTATTGTATTATTATAATACTTGGATTATTAGATTTTATAGTAAAATTAATACTTCTATCATGAATAACCAATTTTTTAAGAGTATTATTCTTGCAAAGTGCATCTGCTAATGCTATTCCTCCTTTTAATCCAAGGTCATTCCAAGAAAGATCCAAAGAAGTCAGCGTGATATTCTTACACAGTACATCCGCTAATGCTTTTCCTCCTTCTGGTCCAAGATTATTGTCGCTAATATTCAAAAAAATCAGTGTGGTATTCTTGCAAAGTGCATCTGCTAATGCCTTTCCTCCTTCTGGACCAAGTCTATTCTTGTAAAGACTTAAAGAAGTCAGCGTTCTGTTCTTGCAAAGTGAATCTACTAATGCTTTTCCGACATCTGATCCAAGATTATTCGAACCAAGACCCAAAAAAGTTAGCGAAGTGTTCTCGCAAAGTGCATCTACCAATACTTTTCCTCCTTCTGATCCAAGACTATTATCCCAAAGATTCAAAGAAGTCAGCGTGGTGTTCTTGCAAAGTGCATTTGCTAATGCTTTTCCTGCAAATGGTCCAAGTTTATTACATTGAAGATTCAAAGAAGTCAATGTAGTGTTCTTGTAAAGTGCATCTGTTAACGCTTTTCCTCCTTCTAATCCGAGATCATTCGTGTTAATATTTAAGGAAGTCAGCGTAGTGTTCTTGCAAAGTGCAATTGCTAATGCCTTTCCTCCTTCTGGTCCAAGTTTATTCGTGTAAAGATTCAAAGAAGTCAGCATTGTGTTTTTGCAAAGTGTATTTGCTAACGCTTTTCCGACATTTGGTCCAAGATCATTAAAGCTAAGGTCCAAAGAAGTTATCGAAATATTCTCGCAAAGTGCATCTGCTAATACTTTTCCTCCTTCCGCCCCAAGACCATTAAAACTAAGATCCAAAGATGTCAGTTTGGTGTTATTTAAAAGTGCATATGCTAATACTTTTCCTCCAAACAATCCAAGTTTATTACATTTAAGATTTAATGAAGTCAACGTGGTGTTCTTGCAAAGTGCATCAGCTAATACTTTTCCACCTTCTAATCCAAGATCATTATGGCTAAGATCCAATGAAGACAACGTGGTATTCTTACAAAGAGCATCTGCTAACGCATTTATTTCTTCTAATCCAAGATTATTATGTTGAAGATTCAAAGAAAACAGAGTGGAATTTTTACAAAGTGCACTTTCTAATGTTATTTTATTAATAGTATGAACAAGCTTTAAATATTTAAGTTTTTTACTTGCTCGCAGAAACATTGTAACTAAAGAACATTCAATAGCATTTGCAAGTTTATTCCTTCTGAAATAATCTAAATTATATTCTGCATTTTTAAGCCAATGTGCGACTCCAGTGGCTAAATAAGGACCGACAGATGTAGTATAACTTTCGTACTCAAACAATGGGTTTGAATAATTTGGAAGAATCATTTTAAAAGGAATTAATAAAGCTTGCTCTTCAGCATTTAATGCTAAAAGATATATTATTACAAGTCTTTTATCACAGAAATAATTTGTAGGCTCACTCCATAATATTGGTATAATAAGTCTACACCATCGACGGCTTACAAGAAGGCACGAAAATAAAGTTTCATAATCAGTTCGAAAATTATTAAATATTTTAATAAG